CAGGTAGGCAGAGTCCAGCTGAACTGGACTCTGCCTACCTGTAACTGAAATCCATTACAGTAAACTCTCACAGTAGCAAAAGCGGCTTGACAATGCAACTGGTAACCCAGAGAGAGGTGGGCTCCCCCTCACTGGATGGTAGACAGACATCCATCAGGAGTGCTTTAATTTGGATTCCTGCACTGTGCATAGGGTTGGACCAGATGGCCTCTAGGAGATCCCTTCCAGGATCTAGGATCCAATGATCTCAAAGTCTGGGGGTGGGTTGCAACACAGGGCTAGAGAATTTGCTTCTCGTGCGGAAGATCGTAGGTTTAATTCTCAGGAGCTTAAGACACGGCTAGGCAACACTGAGTCTGAAGCCCTGGGGGCCTCTGCCAGTTAGATGATCTACTTGATCCCGCTTGGTATAAAAGCATGCTTTGTATTCGGCTGAATTGGTGAAAAGCAGCATAGATTCTTACAGATCTTTTGGACAGCATCCCATAATCCCCAGCCAGCATGGCCACCATACAGGGTGATGGGGACTGCTGTCCATAACATCTGGAAGGCACTAAGTTGTCCATCTTTGACTTTTTGCTCTAGCTCAGTGTTTCTCAACCTGGGCAGTTTTAAGATGTGTGGACTTCAACTCCCAGCATGCTGGCTGGGGGGTTCTGGGAGTTGAAGCCCACCCATCTTAAAGTTGCCCAGGCTGAGAAACACTGCTCTAGCTTGCCAGTTGCTGTAATGCACCAGGTGGCCACGGGATGACAGCATTGGGCAACACTTGGAAACTATTTGGCTATCTCTCCTCCTCCACCTGATCCAAGGATGGAAAATGCAAATTTCCAGGCTGTGTTGGGGAGAAGGAAAGCAGATTTTCACATGGTGGGGGAAGAAGGGTTCTGAGTGGAGGTCTGTCTATCAGGTGAGTGTGGATGTTTGGGTATCTTGACTAGCAAGAGGCGCGAAGCACACGGTGGCTGGCAGTGGGTGTTCAGCTGCTTGTCTGGCTCCCCTGCCATCTTTCCTGGTGTGCCTTGCAGGAGAGCCTCTGGGCCAGTTGCCCTACCTGGGGCACCATGCTAAAGAGCCCATTAAAAAAAAGAGTTTGCTGCAATTGAAACCACTTTGCAAATTGCTTTGATTTCTTTCAAAGTTAAGGTGGTCTCCTTAACTGGGTCCAAAAATCTCGGCTTTTCCCAGGCATAAATCCGACTGGGTGATGGGCTGGAAAACAGCCAGTTTCTGAGAAGAGTCAGGAGGAAAGCCAAATTCAATCCTGCTTCCTTCCTTTTTTTTCCTGTCCTTCTCAAATAGATTTTGCATTCAACTGGACGTTCCTGAATCTGAGTCCAGGAACATGTAACCAGACCTAGGAGCCTTTGATCCAAGCAAGATTCATGTAATTCAGCTGTTGGCTGCTTTTTAGCTCATTTATCTTCACCCTCTCCCCTCTTGGGTTGGATGTTTTCAGGAGAAAGTCACTGGCTGTTTCTCAACCTCAGCAACTTTGAGATAGGTGGACTTCCACTTCCCCAATTCCCCATCTTAAAGTTGTTGAGGTTGAGAAACATTGGATTAGTATATACAAACTATTTTTATTTATTTCCTAGATTTATATCTGTTTTATACAAAGTGGCGTGCATAAATGCTCTTGCTTCCTATTTTCCTGGCAACAACAACCCTGTGAGGTGGGTTGGGCTGAAGAATGTGGACTGTCCCCAAGTCATCCAGCCAGCTTTCCTTCCTGAGGGAGAACTGGAACTCAGGGTCTTCCAGTTTATAGCCCAGCATCTGAACCCCTGCACCAAAAATTGTGTGATGCTTCTAGTTGGCTGGAGCAGGTTGGAGGATGATTCAAATGAATTGAATCCTAAATGTAATGGAAGACTTTAGTCCTTAAGTGGGAGCATCCTATTTATTTCAAACTTTGACTTCCCCAAGATGTCTCTTTCTGCTTTTTGAACTTGCAAGGTTTCTGTGAAGACATCCAGGCTGAGAGAGGAGGCAACTGACCCCCAAAAGCCGTCTGCAGGGGTTCATGGCCAAATGGAGACTTGGCCCCCCGGTTCCCCTTTTCCCAGTCTGGTTTCAGCACTGTCTGCTGGCCAGTTTGGGGATCCTGAACCTAACTTCTTTCTTTCAGCAATTATTCTGCTCATCTGGGTTGGCTACCTGTGGTCTTCCCGAAGGATACATTGCTTACATTTCTGCAGCCCCTTCACAGTAGCAAGGATACTCAAACCCCACAAAGTTTTAGGAATTTTATTGTAGATTAAAAAAAAAATTAAGCACGTTTGGGGACTATAGGCTGTAACAAATAATGACCTGACCAAAGAACAGCCAAGATCATTTTCCTTATCCCCTCCAGGAGACAAAAGAATTGAGCTTTGTGTATAGGAAGCAAAATATTGCACAGGTCTGAAACTTGAACAACTTTTTTTCTCTCTTCCCCCCCAACCCCTCCCCACCAGACAAAATCCGAAGAAGGCTGGGAAGTTCTTGGGACGGTTGGTCATGGAAAGATCCAGGAAGAAATTCCTGTTGTCAGTTGCTCAGACTTTCGCTGGACTGGACCCACCATCCTGTTACTCGGTAGGTCATTTTTCCATGCAGGGGAAGGAACGAGGAAAGATCATCCTTGCCCCCCCTGGTGTGGGCAATTCTTTTTTTTTTTTGCTGCAAATTGGGTGGGGGGTATCAGTTTTTGTATTTTGAGTTTTAATTCTGTAAGCCACCTGGAGTCACTGTGTGAGTTGGGGGGCCATATAAATTTGTTTAATAAATAAATAAAATAAATGAATAAATCCAGAGAAAATTGAGCTATTTTAATCTGCTTTCCAGCGGTAAGCAAAAGAAGTTGTTCCTGCTGAACAACTGGAGAATAGCAGGTTGGAGGGGAGATTGTGAGATGTAAGGAACGTGGCTTTGTTTTTATCATGGTCAGACTGTAAGAGAAACTTAAGAATAGACACCAACTAGCCTCTGAATGCTGGATGGATGAACTTTGGTTTTCAGATCTTGATACTTTATGATCTTCTCCAGTTCTTTGTCTTCTGTTCTACTATCCCCTAGTATTGCCCCATCCATTATCCACGCTTTCTTCTTCTCAACCACAGTTAAATCTGGTGTGTTATGCGCCAAAATTTTATCAGTTTGTATCTGGAAATCCCACAGTATTTTAACCTCATTTTCGACTACTGACGTTCCCACCAATTTTTCACTGGCAGATGATAATTTTTACAGAAGTTCCAGTGAATCATTTTGGCGGCTGCGTTATGTCGTTTATAGACAGTCTGTGTGAACTTTTTGCATGAGCTGAGTATAGGATCTGCTGTTTCTTCTGCTTCTTTGTACAATCTGCGCTATGAATCATTTGATGATTTTTCAATCCTTTGATTGCATTAGTTCAAATAGCTTGTTCTTCAGCAGCCAAAATCAAGCCTTCAATTTCTTTTTTTTAGTGTTCCAGTTATAAGCCATTGCCAGGTTTTATCTTTATCCACTTTACCCTCGATCTTTTGTAGAAATTGACCATGTAATGCTTTTCCTTGCCAGTGTTCTGTTTGTTTTTATTACATTATTTCAATATTATTATTATCATCATCATCATCATCATCATCCCACCTTTTTTATATATACAACTCAAGGTGGCAAACATACCTAATTCTTCTGCCTCCTATTTTCCCAACAACAACCCTGTGAGGCGGGTTGAGCCGATAAGATGACCTTCGAGCACTATCTGTTTATAACACAATTTTCCAGTCCCTTTTTTTTTCTTACAATTAAGTTTGAAGCTAATATTGTTTTAGGAATACCATTTTATGTATTTATACTTTTCTTTTGTTCATCGGGTTAGCACAATTTTTTTTTACCATCCTGTCTACCTGCATCCTTCGGTAGTCTAATTCTTAAAACAAATCCTTCCTCTCAGCTGAGAGCCGAAGACAGAGGTCTGACCTGGTCCATCCACTCTTGTTTCGCTGGGTGGCAGTTTAATTGCTAATCAATCGAAGCCTCTAATTAAACTTTCACTTGTCACGTTTAGCCTAGTAACTCAGTTGAAGCTGATCAAGGAAAGGAAAAGAGTTTCTGGTTTCAGTGTCCACCATGAGGTTGGGCATTTGGGGGGGGAGATGTATGAAAAGAACTCTAATTCTTTGGAATAGTTTATATAAATAATATCATTTAGATAATTCTGATAGCCATCTTCGAGGGCGAACCATTTTGTGAGTAGACCCAGGGTCAAGCATGAGTTGAGACTGCCATGTCACAAGTGTGTATAGCAAAGGTGTTGGATCAGGAGTGGGGAGACCTGGGTTCAAGCCAATCCCCGGCCACAGAAATTTGCTGAGTGACTTTGGGCCAGTCCTTCTCTCTCAGCCCAGCCTACTTTATAGGGTTGTTGTGGGGAGCACTAGGAAGAAGGAATGCTTTTTGCATCACCTTGAGCTCCTGAATGATGAAAATTTCACAAAAGTTAATTAAGAAGTTGAAAGTCAGCCAATAAGATCAAAGCATGCACATTTCGTGGGGGGAAGCATCGGGAAAGGGGGAGTCCTCTTGTTACAAAATGGGGGGAATACCCTCCCCCCATTGCCATTTTGTAAGACAGCTGTACATTTTTATGATACTGATTATTGTGACTTTTCCCCAAGAGTCCTAAAAGTGATAAATTAAAATATAGTGAAATGTTGGCCACCGTACGCCGGAGAAGGTCCTTTCTTTTCCAAATTATAATTCCCAAGAACCTCCAGCCCCAGGAAATGATTTTTAAACTAGCTATTGTAGGGGGACTTTTTTCTGAAGACAGCAACTCTTTTAGATTTTTTTCCTGATTATTGAGCAATCACATTTTTTTCATGGATGACAAAAAGGAAGAAATCCTCCCCAGTTTTTTTTTTTTTTTTAAAGCACACAGGAATAAAATGAACTATTTGGCAGTCCTTCTTTGCCCTGGAGGGTTGCCTGGTCTGCTTCACACAGGGAAGATACCAGTATGTGTTGTGATGGGGAAGCAGGCTTGTCGCAGGGCCTGATGCTGGTTAGGGCTGACAACGTGCGAGTGGCCCAGAGTCACCCACTGAACATTGTGGCTGAGGGAGGGCCAGAACCTGGTTTCCCTGTTCCTGATCCAGCATCTTCCCCACTGCCCCACATTGGCTCTGGGGCTCAGAGGGAGGGACTGGGAGCTTCTGTGGTCGAAGAAAGACTAGAACTGGATGGTCACACACCATTCTAGGAAGTAGGCTGCGCAGGAAGAAATTGGCTGGTTGAGTCATCCAGTGAACTTCCATGGCTGAAGAGAGCCTTGAACCTGGGTCTCCCAGCTCCTAGTCCTACCTTCCCCACTGCCCCGTGTTGGCTCTGGGGCTGAGAGGGAGGGGCCAGCCCAGAGGCCCACAAGGACTAGAATTTGGGTCTCCCTGCTCTTGGCCCAGTATCTTCATGACTATTTCCTGCTGGCTCTCAAACAGAATGACATATAAGTAATGACATATAAGTAATGTCATTTAAAAAATCTATTTTGAAGCTTAAGATTTAAATTGCCATTCCTTTTCCTTTTGGCACATGTATACAGGAAACGAGGGTTATGGACTTTCTCCAGAGACAAAAATGTTGTGCCACAAGATGTTGACCATTGCTCCAGGAAGAGATTTGGAATTTGGCGTAGAGTCTTTAAATGTGTCAGTGGCGGCTGGTAAGAGAATCTGCCTTCAGTGTATGTGTGCCTTCTCACGTGGTGTTGTGTGTCTTGCTTCTCAGCCAAAAAAAAAAAAAAGTTTGGAAATAGCTAAGTTGTTTTAATATTTCCTTCCTTCCTTCCTTCCTTCCTTCCTTCCTTCCTTCCTTCCTTCCTTCC